CCAGCCCTCCCCCCTGCCCTGAGTGTCATCGGCTGAGTGGTGTGGGGCTGGGCTGCTGGCGAGGCCATGGGGCAGCCCCGCCCTGGGAGGGGGACACCAAGGCCAAGACCAGCCCCACTGACAACCCCAGCTCAGGGTGTTTCCAACGCAGGGAAGCAGGGAGGCTCCAGTGCCCTAGGCAAAGTGGGGGAGCAGCAGCACGTCCCCATTAGGGAAACTGAGGCACGGAGCGGTGTGGTGATCGGCCAAAGGTCTCTGGCAGCGCCAAGGACGACCCCAGCCCTCTCAGCACTGGACACTCCTGCCTTCCCTCCTCACCCCTCCCACGCCAGGGCTAGCAGGAGGGCAGGCAGGGCGATGCTGGGCGGGCACAAGGCTGGGCGCCAAGCTGCCGTGAGCCCAGGGCTGCCTTCTCTCTGCAGTGCTGGTCGGAGTGGGAGCGGAGACCCTGCAGCGCGGGCAGTTCCAGAGCCTGGCCGTCTATCTGCTGTGAGTAGCGCGGCCCCTCCCACGCCAGGGCCTGGGGCGTGAGCCCCCTGCCCCATGCAGCGGCCGACGGGGGTGAAGCCGTGCCAGCATCTCGGCCAGCTCATAAGAACAGCCAGGCTGGGTCAGCCCCAAAGTCCATCCAGCCCAGGGTCCTGTCTGCCGGCAGGGGCCAATGCCAGGTGCCCGGAGGGAGTGAAGGGAACAGGGAACCATCAAATGATCCCCCCGTTATCCATTCCCAGCTTCTCACAAACAGAGGCCAGGGACACCAGCCCTCCCCATCCTGGCTGATAGCCATCATGGACCTAACCGCCGTGAATTTATCTAGCTCTTTTTTGAACCCTGTCAAAATCCTGGCCTTCCCAACATCTTGTGGCAAGGAGTTCCACAGGTTAACTGTGCGCTGTGTGAAGAAATACGGCCCTTTGTTTGTTTTAAATCTGATACCTACTAATTTCATTTGGAGACCCCTAGTTTGTATGGGAACAAGTAAATAACTTTTCCTTATTCACTTTTTCCACACCGTGGCCTCCCCTGTGCCACTGCTGGGCCAGAGGGAGCTGGGGCTCTGGTGCCCAACTGGCCAGCACTGGTAGCGCCCCAACCTCATGCTGGCCCCGCCACCCCTTGGCTATGGCCACAGCTGGCCCTCATGGTCCCCCACTTCAGTTTCTCAGGGGCAGCAATTTCCATCTGGGAAGTCTCCTTCTTTGTCTGCCTGCTCCTGGGTGCCCCTGTGCCACTGCTGGGCCAGAGGGAGCTGGGGCTCTGGTGCCCAACTGGCCAGCACTGGTAGCGCCCCAACCTCATGCTGGCCCCGCCACCCCTTGGCTATGGCCACAGCTGGCCCTCATGGTCCCCCACTTCAGTTTCTCAGGGGCAGCAATTTCCATCTGGGAAGTCTCCTTCTTTGTCTGCCTGCTCCTGGGTGCATGTGGCACGTGAGTAC